CACGGGTCATAAAGTGGTAAAAAAACTGGCGCCTCCCTGCCATAAAATGGTGGCTGAACCAGCATGGCGGACCCTGTGTTGTTAGGGGAGGGGGCTTCCTCCTCTGACAACCTTCTGGGGGAAGTAGGATGGGGTGGCTGGTCCTGCCAATCACAGGCCTAAAAACGCCTGGGGTACGAGTGTGTTGAAATCCGCAGTCAGCCAATCCAATCACAAAGCAGTATGAAAACCTGGGGGACGACATTTTACATAATGGCGGCTGGAATAAAATGGCAGCCACCATGCATGTGGTGGGGAGGGACTTCCAGGCCCCTACGAGCCGACAGGAAGAGAGGAGGGACTTCTCGGGTCCTTACACCATGTGACCAGGGGAAGGGTGGGACTTCTGGGGCTTGTGGAACACGTGACTGCCTGCAGGGGGCAGGGCTTCCACCAGCAGCTGGGGCCCCGCCCCTTCTTGTACTCGGTGTTGGTTGTCCTCCCACTACTTACAGAAACAATGTCATAAATAAAAAGCTTTTACACAGGGTTTTGAATAATCTTTCTTTCATGACGTATCCTGAGGGCATATTATCTAATATTTGCCCGCTCTTTAGCTTTGGCGTGTTGTTTCTCTGCTACTCTGGTATTTCTAAATTATCTTCTACAAATCTCATAAGCCCAGTAAGAACCGAGAGCCTTTCCTTGCTTAGGAAACAAACACGTGCCAATGTAAATCAGGTCATCACTTCCCAGAGTCCCTGGAGTGTGAATCCATCCTTTAGCTTCTCTATTGCAAGTCCTAGTTCTTCTGAAAAAACAGGCTCCCGATCACATTGCTTTTTTGAATGCACGAGATAGGAGAAAAAAATAAAGCAGAAAGTACTTTTTAATTTTATTATCCCATTTTAACAACATGAATTTGATAGTATGAAAAAGGATGTTCTTACCTTGTTTTCATCAGCAAAGTAAGCCTGCAAAAGAAAGAAAAAAAGAACTCGCAACCTTGGGGGAAAAAAAGAAGTCTAAAACCAAATCTGCTAATAATTCCTTGGGGTCGAAACTGTATTTGTAAGTTTTCTTCAACAAACCGGTCTCTATGGTTTTTATTTTTGTTTTGTAAACAAGATCAGAGTTTTTTCTATGTTGAAATAATTTACAAAAGGGTTCTAACAGGAGTTGGCGATTATGTTCTTTTTCATTAAATACCAATCTTTGAATTCTCCATCGTAATAAACAAAGATTTTTAAATAGTAAAATTTTCATATTACATTTTTGCTACACTGACAAATACTTTATAGGGAATAAAATGTTAACATGAAGGCAAACTGACAGCATCCTAGCATTTTCTGCCTCGCGTGCAGCAGCATTTATTACTAACTAAAATGCGTAAGTGATATCAAAATTCAGTTAACATCATACCCAATCTAAGAAATGAACACAGAGTAACTGAACAATTAACCAAATTTTTCTACTCTCAGACAGAGATCTGGGGAAGTGAGATAATCTTTCCCATTCTGTGTGTATGGAAATTAAGGCTCAAACTCTTCAGGAAATCAGATCTCTGAAAATATCCACAGCTCTGGAAGTCTCCGGACCAGCAGGCTCTAGATTTTCATGTTTACCAAAAAGAGCCTGATCTTGCTTCAGCTGCCCCTATGGACTGGCGAGGGGCAGCAAAGAAAGCGTTCTCCTGCTCAGCTGGATCTCAAGCTATACAAGACTCTACAGAACAGCATCCCAGTCGTCAAGTGTCATGGAATCTTGGTCTGGAGCCACTCCTTGGGTCCTGGACGATATATGTCTCCTATAGCAACCACCTAATCATTTACAGCTTCCAGTTTTTGTTTTAGAATATGCAAAGCACAGTTATTTAATCCAAATGACAAAGGCACCAATAGAGCAAACAATCTACCGTTAAGGAAAAGGTAAATTTAAAAATGTGCAAAAATGAAAACAAAAAAAGGCAGAAAGTGAGGAGAAAGGAGGGATAAGAGCTTATCTGCATCAGTAAATGACACCAAAAGAAAAGAAGGTGGAAATAAGATTGGTGCTAGCACTGCTAATTTACCACATTTCAGAGATGAATTAAGAAAACGCGTCAATTGTCAATGTGTCAAGTCTACCACTTGAAAACATGTGCAGTCTACCTGTGCAGTCAATTATGCAGTCAGGTGTTACTGGGTTGCACAGTAAATTTGGAAATTCCTAGAAAGAAGGTCATCAAGCAACCTAACGTATTTAAAGGTAAATTTTCCTGAAATACTGGGAGACAGATACTAATACAGTTTTCTAAACTGGTATTGTCAGGAGTGCAAAGGTTGTCAGGAGTGACTCAAAATTATTGCTGCCTTTCTAAAAATCTTTCAAGTTTGAATCTTAGATGAATGTTGAGCGTACAGATATCACCATCTATTAATCTGCTCCAAGAGAAGGAAGACTTGTTTCAATATAGTGTATTTGATTATATTATACTGTTGGTTTTCAAGCTATTCTTGATCTTAATGTGTTGAGAAACTACATACAACTGTTACTTTAAATATCTACTACTATTTATTTTGAATAATAGTTTGTTTCCTGTAGTAATCAGGATTTTGAATAAAAGGTCTGTAGGTGTGTTTTAAATATAGAAAGTTCAGTTGTAGCTTATCTTTAATAGATGATTACAGCTGTACATTGCTTACATTTGAATAACCAAACAAGAATTATTTTATTTTTTAGTTTTCTGTGGAGCAGCTTACCACAAAAGCATCCGTATGCTCATCAGATTCTATTTCCACATCATCTTGAACCTGCTCCACTGTTAGGTCTTCAAGAGGTTGAGGCTGCAAATTAAAACGTTAAAGTAAGTAAATCCACGTATCTAATGGGTTTAATATATTTTTATTACTGCTGTTAACACAATATTGTATCTAATTTAAATTAAATGAGTGGAGTACCTTTTCTTCCATTTCATAATCCACTCCAAATATAGGGTTAGCTGAATAAACTCTGTGAACCTCCTGTAGTTTCTCCACAGGGTCTATTTTAAAACCAAGTACATATCCTCCACTCTATATAACAGAGAAAAAAGAAGATGTATATTTATTAGTGTTGCTTATTATTTAAACAACTTTTTCCCCTTGATAGGGATTTGCAGTTTAATGAGAGCAAATTTCAGTTTGCTGATAAAACAGTATCTGTATTTTGGTATTATCTTATTTTCATTCTGCCACTTAAACCATGGGTGAAATAAAAACAATGACAAAGTTTCTCTATGAGGTAAATGAGGTTTTAACTGTTAGCCCATTATATAAATGGGGAACAAACTTCTTACACAGAAAAACAAAAGCAAACAAGGGTGGGAGAAGTTCAGAAGTTGGTACTAATGATTTATTTCTAGCTACTCAGCAAATGTTTAGTCTGTTAGATCTTGATGTTGTTATTAAAGAAGCTTTCAGACACAGTAAATAAAGTTAGTTGAACTTAAAAAAAAAAATCACCATTAAAAGCATTTCTGATTAAGGTGAAATTGAAGAAAAATAATTTTATCTCTTACAGCAAAACAGACACACAAGTGAAAAATACTAAAAATAGTGGCCTTAATTAAGTAGAGAAGTAATTAGATCCCAAAGATAATCTGTCAGAAGACACTGGTTTTTTTTTTAACAGTTATTTTACTTTATTTTAACTAGTCATGCTGGCCTATAAGCATTTCTGATTAAGGTGAAATTGAAGAAAAATAATTTTATCTCTTACAGCAAAACAGACACACAAGTGAAAAATACTAAAAATAGTGGCCTTAATTAAGTAGAGAAGTAATTAGATCCCAAAGATAATCTGTCAGAAGACACTGGTTTTTTTTTTAACAGTTATTTTACTTTATTTTAACTAGTCATGCTGGCCTATTGCTTTGCTTAGAGAAATCGTAACTCACAGCCATATTGAACCCCCCCCCCCCCCCCCCAGCCATATTGACCTTAACATACAGACATTTTAAGCAGTGCAAAAAGGACTTTTTAAAAGTTGTGTTCAAAAGGCCACACAGAAGGAACACTCTAAGTACCTTAAAAGTAGCCCTGTAACATTTCAGAATTAGAGAACTATTATATATAAAAACATAACCAATGAAAGAAGGCTGTTAAAGCTTCTTACCTGCTGAGAACTCTCTATCACAAGCGCCAAGCCAAACTTTGAGTCTCTTATTTTTATTGAACGCTAATGGTAAAGAGGTAAAAACTGTGTTAAAAATTTTGGAATTACTTGTTAAAAATCTGCTTTATCTTTTTTTTTTTTTTTTTAAACTGTACTAATTACAATTACTGGTTTTGGAAGCTTGGATACCAGCATTCCCTCCCATTTACCACTACAAATCTGAACCCCTGAACCTCAGGGAAAAGTGTTTTTATTAGAAGTGGTAACAGTGGTTAACAGTTCATTTCTGAACATCACGTTCACAGACCATTAATCCCGGTGTATGTAGGTGGCATGAAGCATCATAGTAAACAGTTTGAAAACTGGAAATACAAGCTATTTTCAACATCTGTACCTGCCCATGAAAGCCCCCAATTAATGGAAAAAAAAAAAAAAAAAAAAAATCTACCCTGTGGTTGATGCTGGTAAGACTAAATTCCTCCCTGACTGTGGGACATGAAATACTAATTTTGGTGAGCTGGGAGTTTTAACTGAAGACTTGAACTTATGCCATTTCATTTTGAAAATGGTTGTTTTAAGATACTTACAATTTGTAGATATGGTATGCTGACATTGAAGCTGTCATTCATATTTGCATGCCAAACTATTCTCACGTTAGTAATAAAAAACGTTCCTAAATTTCCCTATTAAAGAAAAGGTATGTTAGAACTGCTTTGAAGTACAGAGCCTTTTTCCAAACATGATGATTACTGCTATCCATTTAAACACATGCAGGATACAGCTTCATATTTAATTCAATAAAAGCCTGATTCTTCCCCACCAAAACCAGTCAAAATGCTTCTATTGATTGCAATGACGCCAAGATCCAATCTTTAAAGGATACAGCACCCGAGAGGTGAAAATAGCTGAGAGTACCTATTACTGCAGCAAAGCAGGATCAAATTACAGCACAGCAGACCTCATGGGAGTACATGAAGGATCTGAGAGTGGTGTTCTTAACTGTACAGATCTGGAATTGGCATATAGCATAAGTATAATGGCACGTGGGTTAAACTTAGGCAATTGTGGAGATGTGTGCCAAGGGAATGTAGAGGAAAGAACTTTTTAGCTTGTCAGGATGGATCCTATTTCCATTCTGGACTAAAATTGCACAGACAGAAATAACAGCTCCCATTTTGTTTCATGGCCCTGGGAAATACTTGCTACCAATGCCCTGTAAAATAATAGAAACATTTTCTATTTTTTCCTTAAAGTCTTTATTTTTCCATGTTTTAAGACATAGATTCCTATTCCAGTATTTTCAATTTCTAGTAATCGAAAGACAATATAGTCTTACACTGTAGTCAAAAGCTGCACGTAAACATACAAATATTCAGCAGAGCACTTTGGAAACAACATGATTGTCTTTCAGGATGATACAGAGCTTTAGACTCATAAATATATCTTTTTAACAGGAACTGTCTATCTAGTTCCTTGCCTATTAGCTGAGTCACATAGACTTCAGGTTGCCAAAAAGTGACTTTGTTGTACTGAGTAGCAAATATATGGGATCAGCTTCTCTGCATGTGAACTGAATTAATGGTAACTCCTTTGAGGTTATAAAACTGTAGTAGTACAATTGCTAGATGAAAGCCAAAACATTCAACTTTGCTGTAGTCAACGTAGTCTCATTTTTCACTATACCTGGTCACTTGATAAATTCCAAACTCCATTGATTTTATCATATATTTGTTCTTGTGGTAATAATCTCAGTTGCTTGTTTTGAATCAATGCACTTCTCAGCTTCAGATCACGATACATTTTAGAAGTTTCATAAGCTCTGCAAAATATAAAAAATACACATTACCATTTCAGTGTTTTCTATTACCTTTACTGTTTGTTTTAGCACCAATATGAAATGTTGTGTATTTTCAACTTTTCTTATCACGTTGCACAAAAATGACAGTACTATTAAAACTTCATCAACGTAAACCATTATATTTCAGCTTTCCTTATTGAAGTTATCTTTAAAGTTTTTTTTTTGACATCCGTTTTGATCTCCTGTGTTGTTCATGTGTTTACTATTTCTTTCTTTTCGTTAAGATAGTCATCTCCCAGCCTCTATTGCAAAGCATAAGTCTTCTGGATCCCAGACTATGTATAACAATACTTAGTATGGACATCAAGAATCCTTTATTTTTCAGTGCCGGCTAAGTCACAAACATCCAATATACGAACATCAGTGTTCCACAGCTCTTAAATAGAAACCTGTGGTAATGTATTATGCACACATTCATTCAGATGACTTATCTTTAGGTGTGAAACATCCACTGTTTTGTAGTCAATTAGAGTTTTGACCAGGATTTAACTCTTCATTTCCATTACATGGTCCAAAATTATGGGAAATGATTATAGACAGAAATTATAGATCAAAAATGTACACTGAGATTAGCTCTTTTGTACTTTTATTTGTTCAGATAGTTTCGACACACAAGATGTATAAACTGTGATCAATGACTGGTATTAATACACATTAATTTTCATTATGTACAGTTATCTACTAGAATCTACAGAAGGCCAATCGTATCCTGGGCTGCATGAAAAGAAGCGTGGTCAGCAGGTCAAGGGAGGTGATTCTGCCCCTCTACTCTGCTCTGGTGAGACCCCACCTGGAGTACTGCGTCCAGCTCTGGAGCCCTCAGCATAAGAAAG